GTCTAGTGTAGCTATATTTTCTTGTTCACAGTATTGCTTTGGAAAATACATGTTCCCAGCTGGTGATTGTAAATAACCTCCTTGCTGCCCTGAAAAGGCAGATGGAAATGGTTCATTTATAATGACAGCTCTCATGTGGGAATCTTGAAGGATAGCTCTTGTGAAAATTAGCAGTCTTCCACATGTAGCAATTTTTGGTAGACTCTTTTATTTACATTCCCTTAGATAGAAGTTATCTGGGAAAATGCTTAAGTATAGAAAATTTCTTTGGAATTTGGTATGAATATCATACATATAAATATGGATAGTCCTAGGAGAGAGAAACTTTTCCTAAATGAAATAAAGAGATTTTGAATTTTTGAGACAGTTTGCAAAGTTGAAGATCGCATTGTGTAAAGTACCAATAGAAGCATAATATGAGGCACTTGAAAAGAATAGAGAAAAAAACTACATCCTTTTCAAGAAAGGTGCCGTTTATTTGTAAAATAGCTGTATGTTTCTGTTCGTTATTCCTATTGTTCTTAAATTAGACATGTTGAATTCAAACTCCCTGTAGTATGGGTGAAGAGTAGTACATATTTGCTGTACATAAATTATGAACACCATATAATTTCAGTTTAGGTAGTAGAAGGTGGAGCAGCAAAATGACCAAAGTGGATATTTACCTGATATATTAAATTGAGGATATTTCAAAAACAAAATTTTTTACCCATTTTGAAATTGTGATCTGCAGCATTCAGTGCTTTTATCCTCAACGTGAATTTTTGTAGCCTAGACTGTGTAAGAATTGAAAATCCCTAACTTGTTTGGCATAATAAATTACATATTGATGTTTATTCCCTGCTTGGGGGAAGGAAGTTAAAATAATCCCCATTTTCAAATCCATTAATGATGTAATTGATTAACTATCATTCTATTATTACCCAATGGTATATTTTGACCAATATTTTTAACTTGAAGGAACATTACAGAAAACAACTTACGAATAGGAACATTCATTTCCGTGCTAGTTTTTTATTAATATGTGTGCTTGTTTATATAGTTTAAAACTATAGTTCATTGATCTTTTGTGCTCCTTGTCACATTTTATCACAATATATGTACTTTATGGAAGAAAAACCAAATCACTGGGATACTACCTTTTAGGTGATATAAAATTTTGACTTATAAGCTGTAGTGTTAGTAGAACTGAAGAACCTTTGCTTTGGTTTGGCATTAGTTCTCTGGTGAGTGAGGATATGTATATGTGAACATGTGCATCTGTAATGTGGTAAAGGAATGAGGAATTACTTATGCCTACTGATAGTTGACTACAGTAAATGTGCATTAAAAAGAAATACCAAGTACACATGTATCAGAAGCTGATTTGTTCCTTTTATTACTGCTGGCCATTTATTAAGAAGGGGAGATGGTTCTAGTTTAATTAACCCAGTTGAGTGTAGCAGATGGGGCAGAATGTCTTGCAGCGATAAGACAATTCAGAAATGGCACCAGATGTTGGAAGCTGTCCCTGGTGGTGTTTGAGTGCAGCCCAGATGTTCCAGTCCCACCTGGCTAGTTTCTAAGCACTGCAGGCTAAGCATCTGTGATGTAACCTATATAATGTTCACATAACACTAAAAACACCATAATTGAACTGCTGCTGTAAACTTCTAAGGTTGTGACTCTTAAGAGGTGAAATCTTTAAGGACAGACAAAAATAAGGACAACTATATAAGGTTTTTAGATCTTTGGCTGTTTCATTGATAATTGAGCTGGAGAAAATGGAATATTAAACCTTTAAATAATGTTATTGTTCAAATTTTAGATAAAAGTAAATATTCTTACCTATGTAGTGTTTACAAATAAAAATTAGTATGAGAATGTTATGTTATGCACACAAATTGATTTGCAGACTTATGATTTGGATCTAACCCCTTTAAAAACAACAATCTACAAGTAGCAAGAAGCCATTATTTTTCCTTGTGTTTAAAATACAAGTATTTACTCTCTCATGGAGTAAACAATAGGAGAATAAATAGTCCACCAAAATCATTGATTTTTTTTCCTCTATGTCCATTTAAATTGATTTTTACACTAATCAACTTGTTCCTCTAATTTTTTATTTTAAACAGAAAATTTATCCCATTTTATTTATCCCTCCTTCTCTAGTTCTTTTTTATTAGTTGTTTATTTATTATGTTATGGGTTTATTCTGTACCGTTTGTGAGGAAGTTGGAAACATCATGACATTTTTCGCCAAAAATACTTCTTCATGTATCTCCTTACAAGGACATTCTCCTTTATAATCATAATATAATTATACTTGAGATTTAACATTAAAGCAATATCCATGCCTAATATATGACCATATACAAATTTCCACAATGTTTCAATTCTGTCAGGGTAGCACTTTTTTAAAAATCCTGTGTCCTATCAGGGATTGTGCATTTCATTTATTTGTCTTGTGCATGTCTTATTCCCCAGCAACGTTTTAGTGAGGTTTTGCTGGATAAAACCGTATGTCCACATTACGTTCATGAAATATTAGAGATGTGGTGTCATTTATTAGATATAGAACTAAGGATAGTAAGAGTCTGTGGTAGCTTATAGGGAATATAGTAACATGAAAATCTAGGTCAGCAAACTTAAGCTTTTATGAAGCATGTGGGGCCTCTAATATTGGTTATTTTTTGTGTCATGCTTAAAATGGCTTCCTGAAATTGTTTCCAATTGTTTTCTAGTTCTAACAGTTTAACTTTTTCCTCGTTCTTAACTTTTAGGAGGATCAGCTGATTTATTCGGGGGATTTGCTGACTTTGGCTCAGCTGCTGCATCAGGCAATAATTTCCCTTCCCAAGGTATGATGCGATTTGTGATTGGCCAGAAGGTATAAAGGTTATCAAAACAAAAAAACTCCTTGCCCCTCAAATTGGCTTCTTTTTGTCTTTTTTCTTCTCTTTATAGTATTTATAATTCATAATTCCTAAAGAATTTATTCACAAGGTATTTTATTAGGCAAGTGTCTTAAATGTGCCCAATGAATTAATATGGTTGCAGACTATACAGGTACTATTTAAAGAAAATTGTATTCATAAGTGACTTGTTTAGTTTTTGGAGGTGGGGGATGTGAATAAGTATAAATAATCTCAGCAGCAAGAATATTATGGTTTATGTTTAGTTTTTGGCTTATATGATTTTCATGAATGCAAATTAGGGACATTGCAGTTGGGAAAACTATCTTACAAAAATTCATTCCTTTGTAATGTAGGTATCTTAAGAGCATTTTTGTGAAAAATAACTGAACTTCATTTTGATATACCCTAAAACAGTGAACAGTTGAACCTCAGACAAAACTCTCTCACTCTGTGTTAAATAGAAATTTTTTTAAAATACCACCATTCAAGTAGAATATAGTCTTAAACATCAAGGATTGAGGTGAAGGGCTTGTCTTCTTTCCTTTTTGAATTAATATTTTTGTTTTATTACCTCTGCCAAATACTGTGATAGCTGTTTAACTTTGGGAAAGCCTCCAACTTTCTAAACTAGAAATAATGCTACTTTTCACAGTTCTTTATGAGGATAAAGTAATGTCTGTAGAAAGATGTAGAATAGGGGGCTAAGTTCATTATTAAGTATCCTTTTTTTTCTTTTTTAGGTTGTAAATGGGTTGTGGTGTTTGTTTTATAAAATCTAGTCAGTCTGAAGTTTGAGACATAATATTTTTAAAAATTAGCTATCTTAAACAGAGGAGAAGGATATAATTTAACTGAATTAGTGTTATTCATTATAAGTAAAATTTATTAAGTATCCTTTTTTTTCTTTTTTAGGTTGTAAATGGGTTGTGGTGTTTGTTTTATAAAATCTAGTCAGTCTGAAGTTTGAGACGTAATATTTTTAAAAATTAGCTATCTTAAACAGAGGAGAAGGATGTAATTTAACTGAATTAGTGTTATTCATTATAAGTAAAATCTATTGCTGTTATATTAAACTATATTAACATTTATATTTAGTAATGTCTGGTTTAGGTTTGTGAGGATTTGGGAAGAAAGATGCAAAGCTTTTAATGTGCTTTGTGGTTATATTGACAGCCTACTTTTGTAAATTCTAAGTACTTCCCAGAAACCAGAATTGTTGAGTAATTAACTGCTTCATTTTGAAAGTCTGATTATGCCTTCTAAGGGTTGATTCCTTACTTTAGGCAAATCAAAGATAAACATTGCCCTGATTTTATAGACTCCTTATGTAATTCTCAAAGTTTTTATGTATGTAAAGTTGCCTACTATGCAAATAATTTGAATATGCTAATGTTGCCTAAGTAATACATCTCTTCTCTGTATGTATGTGATTAATATAACCTGATCACCATTACGCAGGGGGCTGGAACTGTTGCAACAATGATTAATCATTTCTAAACAATATATGCCCCACTAGAAATCTCTTCCTTCTTATCATAATTAATCATTTCAGATACTAAGTTTTCAGATGGGGCAACACATTTTGCCCCAGTTTCCATTCATTTCTATTTCTACTTAATAGATCAAGCAAATAGAAAATCAGCATGAAATTTACCTTTATCCAATAGCTTTGCTTAAAATAATTTAAATTGTTTAATATATAGAATTGAAAACTCTTAATGCAGTCTCTTTCGTAAAGAAGATCAAAGACATGTTTTAGTAAAACCCTGAGGTAATGAATATTAGCCCAATTTTTATATTAAATTGTTGGTAGAGCGTGGGGTTTCTAAGTGAATTAGAATTATTTTCCCTTTTGAGGGTGCTTATATTTTAATATAATTATAGAAGAATATAATTTTAAAGACTTCATGTTATTCTCTTTTGATATTTAGCATAATGAGACACGATATTGCAGTTATTGGTTACCTTTTAGGCTAGACAAAATGTATTTCCAAGTTGTAAATGAACATGGAGTGCAAAGAGATGGTGTTAATTAACTTGGAAATACTATTCGCTTTCAGCTGACAGTTTTTTTGTAGCTCTTTCTTCACCTTTTGCTTTTTCAACTTCCATTTATTCATATTTATCTGTCTCTTAAGGAAAGGTTTATTACTTAGATATATGTATAGCCTAGTGAAATTTTTTTTAGAAAAATATCACTTGCTTTTATAATCATTGTGTTCCACATAGTTGTTATTATGAGTACAGAATTTATAGAAGCTTGACTTACACTTTTGTATGGCATACCTAAAGGAAAGAGTGCAGTGCTGTGGCTCTCACCTGGGCTTCCACAATTAATTCAAAGTAACAATAACAAACTTTAAATGGCACTTACTACATATTAAATTGTTTAATC